AAGTTCTTCTCAAGTTGGGCTGCACTTTATTTAAATACAGAAGTAGGCGTAAATATCCCCCAATAAAGCTCATACTGTATGTTTTGTGTGTGTGTGTGATTAGATGTTGATTTAGTTACCAACATTCCTTAAAATATCTTCTTTTCTGTTCAACAGAAGAAACTCATACATGGTTAGAACAAATTGAGGGTGAGTCAATGAAATGCATTGATAGGATGTCCTACCTGCCTGTATTTGCATACCTCCATGCGAGAGTCTGGTGCGTGGCTATAGCCTAGAACAGTGGTTCCCAACCCTGGTCCTTGAGGCACCCCAACACTGCACGTTTTGCATGTCTCCTTAATCAAACACACCTGATTCAGGTCATCAGCTCATTAGTAGGAGACTCCAAGACCTGAAACTGGTGCGGCAGAGAAAGGAGACATGCAAAATGTGCAGTGTTGGGGTGCCTCCAGGGCCAGGGTTGGGAACCACTGGCCTAGAAGGCTGAGCCAGAGTGTGTTTAGCCCAGGGGTGCCCAAACTCGGTCCTGGAGGGCCGGTGTCCTGCAGAGTTTAGCTCCAACCCTAATCAAACACACCTGAACCAGCTAATTAGGCTCTTACTAGGCATGCTAGAAACTTCCCGACAGGTGTGTTGAGGCAAGTTGGAGCTAAACTCTGCAGGACACCGGCCCTCCAGGACCAAGTTTGGGCACCCCTGGTTTAGCCGGTGTGAAAAAACGAATTCAGATTCTGTTACAGAAGTGCAAGCCAAAATACACAGAGACAGAAAACGGGGTAAAACGTGGGTAAACACTGGCGGTGTTTATACATAATGGAGGAATTTGATGGGATGTTAGGGTCTCAATCGATATGACGAATCTCAATTCTTCTAAACAGGTAATCCTAATATGTTGGACCTTTTTTGAAATAACCCTGCTTTACCTGTTGGGACATGCCTTCACTTCTATAGACCTGTAAGTGCTGCGTTTGTGATATTTGGGGGAGGCATGACACACGAAAAAGGATGTTTGCAAAGGTTGTTTGAAACATGCTGTTATTTTTTGTTTTTCTGCTAGATGACACTAAGTGCAGAACATGCCTACCCTAGATTTAATGACATGTATAATATTACAACATTTCAAACAAACGTGCCAACATGTAGACCTCCCAATAAAAATGAGACAATGTTGTGGCCTGACATTCATGAAAAATACCTTTTTTTTTGTCAGGAACACAAGAAATTGATGTAGATGAATAGCTATCATTTCTGCATATATATATATATATAATGTCTTCATTTTAAAGTTGAGAAAATAGCACTGCAATTCCACCTAATGTCCACATGAGGTTGATATGACTCCACTAATTTTGCACATGGGAAATTTACGTTAAAATCACATGTGAAACCTGTACTTGGAACTTTTTCATTGTATAATTGTGTTAAACTCTTTCCCATATAAAATCTATGAGATTACATTTGAAACCCATCAAAAATCTCATAATGGAATCAACGACCTAAACAAATTACATTGAACCCAATGTAAAAGCTGTAATTTGATGTGATTGACTGAGGCAGCCAGCAGGGTGCATGATATATGATCTGACAGATAGAATCCAAAGCAGTGTCAGATACTCTGTTTACAAGATATAATTTTATTAACACAGAGATGCCTGTCACTCATTTGTACAAGTATGGGATGCTCCACAAGTAAATAACTCCGAACATGCTCCATTTCCCGTTGACTAGAATAGAGAGGCAGAATTAAACTTGAAATAAAATATTCTATGTTTCATCTACCAAGACATGAAGTCTGCACATTGAGTAAGCAGCAATTCACCATATTCTTCTGCAAGGCCTATATGGCCATGTATAAATGAATATAATTGATTCAGACTGAGCGTCTATTTACAAACATGCAAAGCAAATGTATTAAGCTGATGACAGGAACAGGCAGATGAGCTGAAAACATGAGAGAATAAAGTCTATAATGGATACATAATGTGATGCAATAAAATCAATCTTATAATGCATCTAAAACTACCCACCAGAAACAATAATACTGCATTTCTTGGGCAGGACCTTTTTTCCATCAATAATCTGTAAAAATCTGTAAACTCCAGTATGTTGAGTTCTGGTGTTTGTGATGGTCAGAGATCCAGTTTGATGATCCACCTTCAGTCTGTCTCTGAATCTCCCATCAAGAACATCATCATATAATGAGATCTTATTGGCCATTCTGTTGATTTGAACTATTCGAGTGTTGTCAGATCCAAACGTCCACAGTATCAGATCAGCTTTCTGTATTTCAGTAAGATCAGTATATAAAGTGACAGAATCTCCCTCCATCACTGACACGGACTTCACTTCATCCGTATAACCAAACACACCTGCAGAAGAGAGACTGTTTGATTTGAACTATTCGAGTGTTGTCAGATCCAAACGTCCACAGTATCAGATCAGCTTTCTGTATTTCAGTAAGATCAGTATATAAAGTGACAGAATCTCCCTCCATCACTGACACGGACTTCACTTCATCCGTATAACCAAACACACCTGCAGAAGAGAGACCGTTTTAGAGATTTAAGCTGAACAAATCATTGTCTTGTCTAAGGGTTAATAGGCTACTGTCATAATTTATGATGCTTTTGTCATTTCTTCTTGCAGCCTTCTTCTCTATTCAGCCGTTTTGTATGGACAAACTTCCACAGGATATTGTTGTGAATCCAGGAACAACTAAATGAAAGGAGGCCAGGGGTAAGATCACGGAATACTGAGTAATGTTATAATGCAGTAGTGAATACTGAAGGACAAACATCAACACAAACTCTTTTCACTTGCTCCACAGATTAAAATTTTCATTCAGGAATTGAAAATGCCAATAAAAGAGCTATCAGCGTTCCTTCATATTAAAATCATTTTGTTTAGATAGTTGAGTTTGTAAAGTGAAAGTCTGGAAAGCCATTTAAATCTACTCACCATTCGCGAGTAATGGAACGAAGAGCAAAACAAACATCTCCCTATTCCATATGCGAGTGAATGATTAGTAAAAGTTGTCATTTGTCGTTATTAAACTGTTCCGTTGAGTCTCAAAGCTCAAAGTCTCAATCAGTTCGTCCACTCAGAACAGTTTCTAAACGCTCTAAACCACTCCAACCCGATCTCATGAAAGTGCGTATAAATAGTACGCCAAATAAAAACGAAAACTCATGGTATTGATACGCAAAAATGGACTTTGGCGTGTATATGCTACGTGATGGGTAGGTTTAGGGTTGTGGGGTAGATGCGTATCATATGCACGCCAACAAATTTCGTATCATATGCACACGAAAACTGCGTATCATATGCACGCCAACAAATTTCGTATCATATGCACGCGAAAACTGCGTATCATATGCACGCCAACAAATTTCGTATCATATGCACGCGAAAACTGCGTATCATATGCACGCCAACAAATTTCGTATCATATGCACGCGAAAACTGCGTATCATATGCACGCCAACAAATTTCGTATCATATGCACGCGAAAACTGCGTATCATATGCACGCCAACAAATTTCGTATCATATGCACGCGAAAACTGCGTATTGTATGCACGCCAAAATAAATTTTTGCGTATCAATACCACGAGTTTTCGTTTTTATTTGGCGTACTATTTATATGCATTTTCATGAGACCGGGCTCAAACCACAAGGTAACAGCGACGGCTATTAACATAATTTAACTTTTACATGCAATTTCTATCATATTCAACCGACTTCAGATGAATAGGTAAGAATTATACGAGTGAAACTCTAAAAACGTCTTGATTTAAATGCTAGGAAAACGGTAAATCCGGTCAAAATAAGCAAACGTTCAATTGGAACTTCCCAATATGGGATCTGTCATGGAGAAAATAGCAAATCCGGAAAAGTCCCACACTTACAACTGTCAACAGTGAATGGGTGTAGGAATAGGAACTGTAAGCGCTGCCAACAGGTCAGAGTTCAAGGTTACATTTTGTGGAATTGGAAGTGATAATGTTTACAATTGTACACACTCATACACTATATATATATATATATATATATGCATTAGAGAGAGTGAGTTCCTGTGTTGAGTTACCAAGACAATGATTAAGATGTGACAGGATAAAAAGAATACCAGAAGTTTTATCATTCTATGCATAGAACTAGGCTCTTTCATTGCGTTTGATAGACACAACACAATAACATAAGACAGGTCTTTTATTATTATTAAAAAAAGTTGTATAAAATGTTTTGTTCTTAATGAGGCTGAAATTGAATTTCAATCAAAATTGCAGTCTCTCATTCACGGTTTAAAACAGCACAACATTTAGTTTGCCCACAAGAAGATGTTCAAACAGCAGTTTCTTTCACAAACAAAATCTCCCACCATTGCTGACACTGTCTTCAGTTCATCTGTCTCAGTCAAAGCTACAAAAATATCGGTGCAATACATTTTTTTTTGATAGCTTTATATACTTTAAAAAATATATTTGTTGCATAATAATACAATTTAAAATGCTGTACAAATAATAAATAAAATATATTTATCTATATTCATTTTTTTTTTTTTTACAATAGGCCTATATAAATTGCAAAGACACTAAAATTAAATAGTGAAAAAACGAAATAGTTTTGTTGTTCTTCCAGGACACCTTGTGAATGCATGAAAAATTATAAGGGGAAAGAATAAAATATAATACAAATGGATTTTTTTCAGAGCTTGCATACAGTGTGACAATGGTTTAGCGGTTTACTCTTGTGTTTACAGTAATTAGCCACTGTCTCCTGTCAGATAGGTGTAGTGTGACAAACTACTGTTTTATGTCAGCTTAAACTGCACACACAAAGTATATTTGGGATTTTAGATGGCTGTATAAAAAAAGTAGAACTATGTTCCATTGTTTTGGCAACTGAACTTAAATGTGGATTATATATACACTCCCATTCTGTTATCAAGGGCAAGTTTCTCTCCTCAGGATTGTACTCTGTCTTTTCTTTGGGACCTAAAGTATATTTGGGATTTTAGATGGCTGTATAAAAAAAGTAGAACTATGTTCCATTGTTTTGGCAATTGAACTTAAATGTGGATTATATATACACTCCCATTCTGTTATCAAGGGCAAGTTTCTCTCCTCAGGATTGTACTCTGTCTTTTCTTTGGGACCTTAAAAAAAAAGAAAAAAAAAAGCAAAGGTTAAAAACAAAGAAAGAGTTTGATGTTCTCTGATTAATTTGGGATGCAGTGATGTATATATGGTGTGATTTACATGAAGAAGGATGTGAAAGACTTGACATACTCACATGAGCAACAAGATTGAACGTCTTTGAGATCTTCCGTCCCTCACTGGTGATGTGCAGTTTGTAATGTCCATAGTGTTTAGGTGTGACGTTTGTGATGATCAGAGATCCAGTATTGTGGTCCAGATGCAACCTGTCTTTGAATTTTTTGTCATCATGTAGGTATTCCTCATTGTTTGTTTTATCCCATTTAGCTATGACAAAAAATTCAGCGAGTTTGTATACTTTGGAATCGGCAAACTTCCAACGTATCAGCTCATTTTCCTGTATTTCGGTGACATCAGTGTGTAGCGTGACAGTTTCTCCCACCATTGCTGACACTGACTTAATTTCATCTTTCTCCACAAAAGTATCTGAAAGAAGATAGGGATCAAATTTATCAGGTTGATTCTTGTTGAACAAACCTCACTTGGCTTCCAACTGTCCACATGTTGTTTCAGCAATCAATTGTACTTATTTTCCTAATTTCAGTCATTGCCACTAAATTTGATAAACTAAATTTGATTGAAGATGTAGGTCAAAAATCACGAGCTTATATCTTAGAAACATACAAAAGTAAGTACAATTAAACTTCTGATTACAAGGTTCTATAAATTTTGCATGTTACATTTTTGTGTATAAAAGAGAACAAATATAATTCTATTTTGTATTTTATTTAATATTTTTAATACTATTATACATTTCATAATGTTTTTATGCATTTTTATATTTATTCCAAAATAATAACTAAAGGCAGTAACAATTTGAACAATATTTTGGAAACAGTTTACAATAAGGTTTCATTAGTTAACATTAGTTAACTACTTTAGTTAACATGAACTAAGAATAAACAATAGCCTACTTCAACAGCATTTATTAATCTTAGTTAATATTAATTTCAACATTTACTAATGCATTATTAAAATCAAAAGTTGTGTTTGTTAACATTAGTTTATGCACTGTGAACTAACCGGAACAACTGTATTTGTATTAACTAATGTAAACAAAGATGAATAAAACTGTACTAAATGTTTATTGTTTGTTCATGTTAGTTAACACATTAAATGACACCTTATTGTGAAATGTTACCAATATTTTTTATTTGTGAACCAATGTTCAGCTGTTCTTTTTAATAGTCAACTTATTTCGGGTCAGTGTCATAAAAGCCCTGTAAACACTGCCACAGACACGAAGATATATCTTTCATTTCATCACACTGAATGCTCACTGAAAACTGATGCAGTCATCACGTTTTCAGACCATTTTTAGTTTTATTTTGACGTGACACAAAGTAGTGGTACCTAAGCGGAAGGTTGTTTACTTACTTTATAATTAGTCAATAACGCCATCCTTTTCTTCATTCAGACCGAGAGCTCGCACGAAAACAAGAGGTGGAATTTACTGCATGAACCAATCACATCCAATCATAACCGATAATATCCAATTATAGCGCGATGGAGGCATTGCCTCCTCTCACGTGACTTTCCCCCATTCATCTCAAAGAGCCTCCAGAAAAGTCATGGCACTTGAGTCTCTGTAGAAAGTCTATGGACTGAAGGGAGGCAAGCCGCCGCTGTAACTTTACCTGCGGGTGTCGCTGTTTGACAGCGTTACTTTATAAAAACAAGTTATTTTTATACTTTTAATGCCATATTTAGTAATATTTGCGATTTATGTTTGTAACATCGATTATTTTCTCATCCAATTTTTTGAGGAGACACGGCCTCCCTTGCCTCCTCGGAGGAAACGCCCCTGCCACAGACTTTCCACAACTTTTTAAAGGTCTTTAAGGCATCTGATTGCATTGACTATTTCTCATGTTACTCCCTGCTTAGGATAAATTGTTGTAAATGCAATGTTCTTTGTAATGGAATCAGCCAAATAAAGTCAGTTGGGAACCTTAAAATTGACTAGTTGTACAGTAACTTACTGTTTTGTGAATGTCTCTCCTGATCAGGTGTTTCTCCATCTGCTGAAAACAAACACCAATAATAATGTCTTGCATGTGGATTTATATGAACACAAACATGCAGAGATTCAGTATCTTACCAATGTTCAGCCGATTAGCGTCCCCAGCGTTTCCAATAACTACACCTTAACAATAAACACATGAAGCCCTTTGTCATAACTTTATGGTTAAAGTTCTTTGTAAAGTTGTTGCCTCAGTGGACAGAATAAAGCCACATTAAACATATAAACACAAGAGTCAGTCTCTCACCATTAGTTAGCCTAATATTTTCTTCTCCATCAGGTTGGCCTGTAAAAAATAATCACTTATTTTAAAAAATGAAGTAGAAATTAAATCTTTCTTACAAAGATCTTGTACAATATAGCTTTTTTTTTTGGTGTCAAATTTAGCTCTGATGACCTGCTTGTTTAGACCTCCTGTGGTGATAGTAATAGAAAATACCACACAAAACTGCAGCCACAGCCAGAGCACTAAAGCAAACCAGCGCTATATGACTTGCGGACAAACCTGGTGCTGTAGGAAAGAGACAGTATCATTACACTAAATAAATCACTAAGATTGTTGTTAACGTACTGTACATGAACATATCAGTGCTGCTGTACCTGAACATGGTTGACAGAGTTGAGTGATGTCCAGATGTTGAGTCTGGTTGCTGATGGGATTGTTGAGCACACAGCTGTAGCTGTTTTTATCCTGATATTCCACCTCCAGAGGTAGAGAGAGACTGATGCTGAGATCAGACACACTGATGCTGGACAATAAACTGTTTCCTTTGTACCAGGAGAGAGTCACATGACCCACATTCACCACTGAACACAGCAGCACACATCTGGACACTGATGATCCTGATGGTGAAGAACACTGAGAAGAGTTTCTGCTGATGACAGGAACAGGCAGATGCACTGGAAAACATGAGAGAATATAATACATTTTAATGTCACACTAAAACACCCTGATGCAGTTGGATATGTTCACAACATTGAACATTATGTCTGTCTTTCTGGTCTCCACAAATGACATAGGCTGTGATGCATGTCACATTTCACCCTTTACAACATAAATCGTACATTCAGCTTGCCTTTGTATCCAAGAGGCTTCTAGAATAACTGAAGAATGGGTTCAGAGGAAAAGTTACTTTGACTGTTATGTTCAATACTGCAATGAAATCAAATTGGCATGCAACTAGAAAATGACTCACCAGAAACAATAATACTGAATTTTTTGGGTGTGACCTCTTTTCCACCAATGATCTGCAAAAATCCATAGGGTCCAGCATGTTCAGTTGTGGTGTTTGTGATGGTCAGAGATCCAGTCTGTTTGTTCAGCTTCAGTCTGTCTCTGAATCTCCCATCAAGAACATCATCATATATAGAGATCTTATTAACCAATCTGTTGATCTGAGCTATACGTGTGCTTTCAGATCCAAACGTCCACAGTATCAGATCAGCTTTCTGTATTTCAGTAAGATCAGTATATAAAGTGACAGAATCTCCCTCCATCACTGACACGGACTTCATTTCATCCGTATAACCAAACACACCTGCAGAAGAGAGACCGTTTTAGAGATTTAAGCTGAACAAATTCAACTGAGAACCCTGAGTCTTGTTTAAGGATTAATATTGACTAAATGTATGGTGCTTTTGTCATTTCTTCTCTATTCAGCCTTATAGTATGGAGAAGAGTGGTGTGTGGATATCAAATCTTCACGGGTTCAGGCCACATTTCAAGTCCCTCAGGGTATTTTGTGAAAACAGGAACAACAAAATGAAAAGTGGCCATAAGAAAAAGTGAGTTGCAGTTAAGATAACTGAATATTGAGTTAGTGAATATTGGACAGACAAACATCAGCACAAGCATTTTTTTTTTATTTAAAGGTGCCATAGAATGCATTGATACAATATTTTAAATTCTCTGATGTCCCCAGAGTGTGTATGTGAAGTTTTATCTCAAAATACCCCACAGATAATTTTTTATAGCTTGTTGAAATTGCCACTTTTAGGGCATGAGCCAAAACGTGCTGTTTTTTGTGTTTGTCCCCTTTAAATGAAAATGAGCTGGTGCTCCCGCCTCCCTTTTCAGAAGAGTGCTGAGCTTCAAGAGGTCATGCTCCAGCATACCGGTGTTACGGTTTAACTGGTGGTGACCGTGTTACTGACCTCACATTGCTTCCAAATGCAATGTTTAACTACCACATTCCTATTTACGTTCTGGTAGCACGTGAAGGCAGCATTAGTGAAAACAGGCAGAGACAATGGTAGCTTTAGCAACATTAGCCTTACAGAGAGCCAAGAAGCTCTTTTGGAAAACAAAATATGACGCGTGATGCTTACTTTGTCTGGAGTCTGGACGTTTGCACACAAAGCGTTGGTATCGATCCCTCTTTCAGAAGCAAACTTTGCACAACAGCGCTGAACTTACCCTCGTTTGTGAGGCAGTCCGGCGTAAAATGATTAGCACAAACATATAGGACTTTTCCGTTTTTTTCCGGAACATTTCCTTCGAAAATGAAATGTAACCACCGTGTCCTCAGCGGTCTATGTAGACTCCTATGTTCGTTGGTGCATCCCTACACACGACACTTTTAATGGCTCTTTGGCGCTGACATTGTACCTCCAGCAGCAACAGCAAGAAAACAGTAATGGCGGACCGCTG